ATACTCCCGATTGTGGTGATTCTCAATTTTTTGGAAAGTTTACGTTTAAAAAAATATAATGATGGGTAATACCCGAAATACAAAATAGAAAAGGCTAAAATAAGCATATCTAGGGATGTGTTTATAAGGCAGCACTGCATGAAGGGGTTCTTTGAAATAATACACCATCTAAGTCAGAAGCAGTTTGCTGAAAGATTTGAATTGACTGAATTAATGATCCTCATCCCCCTCTAAGGTTAAACAACATTTCCACACCATTAAAGACTGTTTTAATGAAATCTCAAGAGTAGGGAATAATTCCAGGAATAAACATTAAAGTAAATTCTACCCCTTGGTGGAGTGTACAAGATTGGATTGCTTTAAGACATTTAGGATCATAAATGATTTATTTTTTATCTCTTTATCTTTTGTATATGCTTGTTGAAGAGTTCCATCATCCACTTATCCCAAGACCTACCACACTAGTGGATGATCTCCATTGCCCCCCCCCTATCCCTGATCATGTTGCTAGGGAAATCCCAATAGTCAAGTTGCTAAGGAGACCAACTTGGGTATGTATCTTTGAAATACATAGATTGATGAGAAATGAGTAGATCACCTAAGAATTTGATGATTAACTGAACATGCTTGCTACAAATATCAGGCATTGCAGGGAGTGGTGCAATATAAGGTCAAAGGTCAATATCCAGCATCATGAGTAGGGTATGCTGGTCATTCAGATGGGTGATACTGTTGGTTCCTGTTAGGTTTAGCCTAAAGAGGTCACATGATGGAGTAGGGGTACTTGGGAGTAAACCTTCTGTGTACCCAGATGTCTTGGACAAAACCACAAGTCTTACCTGAAAAAGTGATTTAAGCCCAGGACAAATAGTCAACAGGGCTCCAAATGATTGATCAAACAATGTCACATGGTTATATACAGGATATCTGGGAATGCACATCCTGTGCTGTAAGATGTTTGGACCTGGTCCATGGTTTCTTTGATGTATTGGTACATCATTCAACACCTGTATTCTGCTAGTAATTACATATGAGGTCATCTTTCACATGATGGAGGCAAAGAAAAGATAACTCTACCAAAAATCTTTCAACCATGATTATTTGGTTAGTCAATATCTAAATACAGGATTTCTTTCCTCCTGTTAAAATCCTATGAAGTTTTTGTTAGTCAAGTCAATTTGTTAAATAACTTTATCTTGATCTCTGTTTTTTGTTTGGAGAGAGTCTCTTGGGATTCTATTGATGGACCTTTGATCTCATGATCTCAGTTTTGTTTTGCTGTCTGTCTTAAACATTGGGTTCCTATCCTGATTGATGTATATGTACTCACTGACCACTCTCAGCCTGAATATCAATACAGGGTGAGCAGAACTAATTGAACTCTAGGGTATGTAGTTGAAATCTACAGGGTGGTCAAGGCAGTTATTGCAATACAGATTGTCCCTTGGTTTTAGCATCTTGGCTTTCAAAAGTGTGTTTTGATTCAATGAATGTCATACTGGATTGCAAGTATTAGTGTGTTTGAGTCAAATTGGTGTTCATTTTTGTGAAATAATGGCTCTGTTATGTTATCTATAGGCATAATCAGAATTCAATCCCGATCTCAAAGAATGAAGGCTCAAAATTTAAACTTCTATGCTAGTGTTCAAAATATGGAATATGGAGATTTCGTTTTCAAAAATGTGACTTATAAGTTTAAAACTATGGCAACAGACTGCTTCCATTTGAGTTGATTCTTGTTCAACATGAAAAGAAAACACTGCAAACCTGCAATCAAGGTGTTTGAATAATTATAAATGCTACTGATGCAAAACACATCTCCCCAGACATCCATTACTCAAATAGCTAGGAAAACACATCAAGATATCACTTCATTAGCTGTGGCACGGTGACCTTCGTTATCATGTAACAGCCACATTTCTGCAAATAAAAACATGAAAATGATATTTTTGCATCTGTTATTCTTCCTGCGTGGAGTGTTGACTGATGGAAGAAAAATGCCAGACTAACATTGTTTCTTTTGAAGAATTTTCTGTTTTATGTAACAATATTGTTGTATTTAAGGACTATTTGAAGTTACGTGACAAAGGCAGACAGATTCAGGGGGGGGGGCATTTGTACTGAAAGGAGCGTTTCAGTATATTTTTTTACTGAAAAAATGTACTTATTTATTAAGTACATATTTCAGTACTGTATAGTTGGCATTAGGCCTAATTATGTTTTTATGATATGCTACATTTTGAACATAGGCCCAGACAGCAAAGACTGATCCCTATCTTGAGTAAGTGAGAAATGAACTCATATCCAACTTGTTTTTCCAGTTGGACTCCCTCTCAATGTTAAGTGCTATAATGATTTGGACTCTGTTACTGAGATTTTTTATAACAGTCCAGGTGCAAGGGATACTTCTTTGCTTTTTCAAATTAGATTGTTCAAATTAGATTGCTCATTCTGCGCAAATGTGATTTTTTCATTTTTAGAACCAAAACTATGAAATTATATCTCTATTTAGTTCAAAATGCTTGTTTTTTATATGCATTATCTAGCGGAAAAAGATAATTCAGCAAGATCACATTAGAAAGGCACAATGGCTTTATCTCATTCAGCATTAATCTAATCTAATCACTCCATCTCTAGAGTTCTAGAATTAGCAAGAGAGAGTGATGTTTTCTAGTCAGGTTTACATTTGTATGTAGGAAGTGGGTATCTCTCCTCTGCCCTGGCAGACAGTAATATATGGCCCCCATCCATCATGGCCCTGACATACACTCATTTCTAACAGCTACCAACACAGGAAACCATTACCCACAATCCTTTCTTGTACCACATAGAATAAACTAGCCATTCAGAGGTTAGCAACAATTGGAGGATTTCTGGTTTAAGGGTCTGGTTAATCACGAAATTTGAGATCAAAATTAAGACCACATTGCCAAATATTTTAGGCTATCTATCTATTTTGACATTATCATACAAGTGAATTTAGAAATAATGATAGATGTGTTTTTAGTGTTTCTTGTATTGTTCTGATTACAGAGATTACTTGCTGCAGGCTGATTGTTGGTGGGAGTTATTCAAACATGTGGCTAGGCCTGCTTTCATGTGGTATATAACCTCTGTTTTGAGGCATTTGATTTGCATATAAGTCCCTCTATGTGTTCCACTAATGAATGATTAAAGTTGGGTGACCACAGTACCACAAACTGGTTTAGTTCTTTAGGTTAAATACGGACACGTGCATGGGGGAACTTATATTATTTTTGCACTTTTGTCTCTGGTCTCCTTCAAGGAGTTCAGTCATCTCCCAAAGGAGAGGAGGGAGCTGAATACAGCGATCTCCCTAAAATTCATTTGAACCTATGATTTACAAAAAAACATTTAAAAAAGTCTTGATATCCTGTATACCAGTTTTAGTCATTGATAGCTGGCAATTTCTGAAAAAGTAAAACAGGCAAAACCTTATGAACCAGTACAACTCAGATACAGAGATGAAATCATACATTTCTGGCTATTTCACATGAATAAACATCGAGGGTACTTTTGTACATGAAACAGTTGTAACATAAATTGTATTGTAATGTAGACCTCATGACATATGAATGATTTCATAACCACAAATGTCATACCACATGTTACATAAATCAGTTTAGACTTTGATTGATGTAATACAGTATTCCTAGTCATGCGTATATATCTTTATTCATTTAATTAATCCATTACAATTCAAGGCTACATTGTTACATCGACAGTGTGTGATAGACACGGAATAGGGAATGAATTTATTGACTGACAGCAATTCATCGATGTGTCAATCTAAAATAATTCATAGTTGAAATGAAGAAGTTTAGTGTATGTGTTTGATGGGAATATTCAGGTTCGTGTTTCATTTTATAAAAGAAACCCCCTCCAGACTAATTGTTTATAAAGCACAATTTTCCAGACCAGATTTTTTACTTAAATCCTAAAGAAATGAAGTAAAATGTTTGTCCATGATGGTTTTTGGAATGACCAGAAAGGGATTTCTTAACATATGTTCAACTTTTAAAGAAATAACTATTTTTCAAAAAGAATTATTTGGTAGTTATCGCAACTATCTCTCCTCCTCGTTTAAATTACAGCCTCTACTATTTCATGAAGATCTCGAACAAGAGAGACACCGAAAAATGAGAGCGAGCCTCCCTTGATTATCGAATAAAATATTAAAAATGAAAAACAGGAACATGAAATTGTATGATAGAACTTCAAAATGATCTTACGAGACAGAGTCAGGCTAACCAACCATTCATTCATTACATAAAATAGAAAAAATGTAATTTGCATACAGTTGCGAAAAATACATTTCAAAGTCAGACATATTCATTAAATCACAAATTGTTATTAATTTTCAACAGCCTACGGTTAATAAGTGACATTTCCAGAGGACAATGTTTATATCTTACTCAATAATATGTCACTTTGTCCAAGTCTTTCCATTCCAATTTCTTTTAGATATTCACAATTAAAAAGTAAAATTTCCATACAGTTCTTGAAACGTATTTTGTAAAGAAATTGTGAAGTTATTTGTCGTGGCATATTTTTGGCTCTTCATCATAATTTGATGTTGTATCTAGGAGGACAGTTTCTCTCTTAAGTATTCCTCTCCCCTCAGGGATGTTTGTGTCACAATTTAGGAGGCCATACACTAATGATATATATCTAGAGTTGTCAAATTGTAATTTATGAATGAAATTTGCTTTGTGATTTTATCTTAAATTCAGATTGTAATTGTATGACCATACTATCTATAATTCTAAGTATCATTGTATATTTGTTATTGTTAGTCTCTCATCAAAGATTATTGTATAATGACAATTTTGTATTGTATATTTTTGGTCCTTCAGTATTGTTTTGCTGTATTGCAAGTTGTATTTTACATGTTGTATATTTTTGAATGTGTTATTGTATATTGCTGTTGTATATTTTTGAATGTGTTATAATTGTATATTGCTGTTGTATATTTGCAGTATGGGGACACAGCCCTTCACACGGCAGCTAGGTACGGTCATGCAGGTGTGACTAGGATCCTCATCAGTGCCAGGTGTAATATCAACGCACAGAACAAGGTATGTTATTGTTAACACACCTGAAAGCAGTCCATGGCCCTTTGTCACTCTTTAACACGCAAAAATGAATAGGGTAAAATGAATTATCCTCCCCTTGTAATCATTCTTACTGATATATAGTTCAGAGACTTATGCAAAGAAACAGATATATCTGAGGTAGAAAGCACTTGAAGATCAAATGCTTGTCATATGATAAATTAGTTATGTGATGCTCAGTTTTGGATATGGGGTATATCCTGAGGGAAATATAGATATCTTACCAAGGGAAAGGGTAATACACTGATGCTGAAATGACTGACCATAAGCAAAAAACAAGGGAGCGGGTTTAACATTTTTTTTATTTTTTATTTTTTTACAAAATAATATTCAGTACAGTGAAACTTCTAGCTGGAATCATACGTAGAGCCACTCTATTGTTATCATACTCTGAGGTTTGTTGGATCATCTACCAGTTCAGTTTCAATATTTTCATCATTAACATTTAGTGCAGTATGTTCTTTGTATAGTTTGAATTCATTTGAATATGCAGTATGTTACCATGTTTCATTTTGATATTGACACATTAATGTCAGATCTGAATAACAAATGAGATCAAAAGTAAATATCATAAATATCACATTTCTAATGCATATCATGAATATTTCTGGTAACAGATCACAGATTGGATTATTTTTTAATTTTAGTGTGTCAATGTGGAGGGTACCCTTTGAAGAGTTTGAATCCATCTACACTCTTTTAAATTAGGAATCAAATCTAATCTCCATGTATAGTTTTTATCCAATCAGGATACAGTAAAATCTGTACAAGTAGAACACATTTGGTACCTCCAACAAAACGTGTTCCACTTACAGAGGTTCATTTTCAATAAGTCAATATGCTGTAGCAGGACTTTGAAAAGTGTTCCATTTATAGGTTTTCCACTTACAGACATGCTCCACTTTGCAGGTTTTACTGTACTGTGTTTCAACCTTTTGGCAATAAATATTCATTCCATATTTGAAGCTTCATATGAGATTGTTGAGATCTCATAAATTCATAATTGTAAAAATCTTATGTAATGGTGTAGCTAGTCAATCAGATTCAGAGTACTTTCAACACAACCCATATAAGGCCATGATTATTTCATTTGAGCTCATTGGGATTTCATCAGCATGACAAGTCTATCTCTGTTTTATTAAGAGGCTAGTATGGCTAACTGATGCAGAACCAGGGTACCTTGGCAAGGCATCATGACATAGAGTCTGCAATGATTTAAAGGTTCAACCTTTCAAGGGAAACATTGCTGCATTTAATTAAAAAAGATACTTTGGATATTTCAAAGAAATGGCTGTCAGCATTGTCAGATAATTAAAGAAGTAAATGTGATCTCTGGCATGTAACAATACAATCCTTCAAGATGAGAATAATCAGATTTAATGTTGCCATGACAACTAGAAATTTACTTCCACTGTTGCTATAACAACTGAAGGGATTTGCAAGAGAAAGATGTAAAATGAGCAGGAGGTATATGGACTCATGATAGGAACATCAATTTTCTTGAATCAATAGTTTCTTCAGACACCTAATTCTTAGTTGCTACTACAATATACTGTAAGTGTCAACTTAACAGCCTCAGGCTTGTTTATTTCACTTATGTTAACCCAAAAAAATTTTTAATTTGTAAATACTACCTAATTGAGAGTACTACATCATCTTGGATCTTGAGATATTGGAAGATGAATCCTTTTTAACGATGTATGGTTTATAGATCGATTAAGATCATTCAAAGAATTTTTTGGGGATGAGTGATTTTTCATCAAACTGTGAAGTACAGTATCACAGTGCAGTGTGTTTTTAGCATTCTATATCCTCTTTTACGTGGGATTGATATCATTCCAATTTAACCCTATAGCCAGTTTCTCCATTCTAAATTCACCCGATTTACCCTATTTACATCATTTTGCTTTAGATCACACAACAAATGCCAAATTTTTATTAAGTTCATTTGTGGTACTAGTATTCTACAATTTTATTCTTTTCGTATTGTGAAATTACCTCCCCTTTCTCTTTATGTTATTATGGAATAATAGCAAATGTTGATACTTTCCTAGTAGGCCTGTTCCTGATGCCTGCAGCTGGAAGATCAAGAAATGAAAGGATTATATCATCTTGATAGATCTTTGGGAAATCAATGATAGCTTTTTGAAAGGGATTATATGTACTTATGGCAAATCTCTCCCTAGTTTAATCGTTATATTTTGAGTAATTGGAAAAACTTGCATCTGTACAGTAAATGTTTTGAATGAGATGTATTTTGCAGGACTACATGTATGCTTTCAACAAATGTATTAATGTTAAGATGAACATGGTCTTGAATGATTAAAAGGACTCGTTCTGGAGCTCATGAAATAACTCCAGTGTAATTAAAAGCCAGATCAGAATCCATTATAATATCAAGTGGAAATTAAAAACAAACATGTTTTGATGTTCTGTAAGATTCTTGTACATTTTAGAAATATTTTTTGAGAAATTCTAGTGATACCCCTGTAATGACATTTCGTCATACTTGTATGAATCCTTTAATAAGAATCGTAACTGATACACTGAAGTTATGCATAATTCTGACAGAGAGATAAAATCCTGGAATTCCCCCTTGATTAAGATTATGAAATTACAGTTATTCCCTGAAGGGCATTGGAAGTGTGAAGAGACCAACATGACAATTAAAGTTGTAATTGTTACTGCATTAGTCACTTACTCATTGCTTCAACCACTAATCCTTTACTTATAAATGTCCCCTGTAATTATTTCTAGACCTGTCTCTTACCCTGAGATATTTGGAAAGTGCACTGACTATTAGGCTCTGACATGGTCTGATTACTTTATTTCTATATTTTGGCATTCACCCTATCAATATCACCACAAATCTGTGAAAGTGGAACAACTTTGGTACCTCTAAAAGTGTTTCACTTGGGAGTTTCATTGGGAGGTTCATTTAACATAAACTCAGTTTGTCTTGGGACTCTGAAAAGTGTTCTACTAACAGAGGTGTTCTACTTCTAGAGGTATTCCACATTACAGGTTTCACTGTATCTTTAATTAATTAAAATGAATAAAGTCTTAGGTCACTCATGACATGCTCTGATTGGCCTGGCCATGGCTAGTAAAGAGTTATTCATTCAGCAATGTAGAGTATGAAATGATTGTGATCACTCTTCAAAGTGAAGTTGTCTCATATTAACATGACATTGTTCTTCTATAGTGCTATAGGTATCAAGAATTTCTGAGACATCATGATGTCACCATCGTTACATTTTTGTGATTGAAACTAGGTGGTGATATTTTGTCATGTTAGTGCCATTTTATCTACAAATGTACCTTCTTTAATTTAAAACTTGAGAACTGGATTAAGAAGACAATTGCCATCAATAAAAACACAGTGTTTTAATAAACTATTGATTAGGTGTCCCCCGATTCAACAGAGGGTGAAATTAAACCTGACTTATCTTCTCAGTTCTTCCTTGTTTAAACTTAAAACAATTTCCAGTGAGTCATTGCGGAGATATGAACTCGTAAAATACGGATTATCTATCAATAATTGAACATAAGAGAAAATTACAAAGTCTAGATCTGTAGCAAATTGTCTTGCTAGATTGCTGAACAATTGAGCAGAACATGAAACACTGAATACACACTTCTTGTGAGACAAGATTGGAACTTTTTCTCTTTGACAATAGTGAGTGGCTTATTGGCAGAATATTCTGAATAATGTTGCTTGTTTGACCTTGATTAGTATACCTAGTATTTTAACATGATATTATACCCTGGGGAATATGATTGATAATGAAAAAAATTCTTGCCCAAGAAAATCATATTCAATATAAATTTCATGAAAATATAAACATGCATTTTATTATTTTTTCAAATTGATGGTATAAAACGCATATCCAATACCTTCCATTTTTTCGAGGTCTCCTCTGCCGAAGGCAGCGCAAAGTAGGAGCGTAGCGACTACTTTGCGGGAGACCTCAAACCATTGATCACGTTTGCTCCTGTAATTATTCACTTCTTCACCTCTTTAAAATGTGATTTCAATCAGTTGATCAAATTTTCGAACTTTGACCTCAAATTCAAATATTAATATTTATTAGAAAAAATACTGACTCATTATTATATTTTTAAAAGTCTTTCAAATAAAGTGAAATGAAGCCAAAATCAGCTAAAATTATGCAATGTCGTAAAATGGCGTGACTGGAATATGATGCAATCACCTGTGACGTCAGACACGTATTGCCGCATCAACAACTAAACAAACAATTAAATAGACTTCACTGATTGGTTTAAAGATTCTTCGCATCATTTGTGACGTCATAAACATGTTACCCAACCAACAACTAAACAAATAACAAATTGGCATATAGGTTCGTTCAGTGCAACGCTCTTGAATCAGTTATAAACAGGATAATCAACAGATAAGAGGGTCAGGCATTTTTTTGACTTGGAGACCTCGACTGGAGGAGTTTGCTGCATTTTCTTGTTTATGCCATGTCTAAGAACAAAATGCATTATGATCTTAGGCATATGGAAATATCTTACAAGCTTTAAGTCAGAAAAGACAATTCAGTTATGGACAATTTAACAAACATATTCTCTATATCAACTAGCCATTCTATAAAAGAAAGAAATCCCCCAAATGCTTGCAGTCCAAGGCAAAATATCTTAATTCCCCACTAACATATTGGTATTGCTTTTTGTGCCGAGAATATCAAGAAACCTCCAGACAATATTTTATTTTACGACCCAATCGATGGATGAATTTCAAATTACTCAAGGTATTTTTCATATTTCCTTTGCTTGTTAAGAAGCCTGTCTTATGGGTTTGTTATTACTTATAAATATGCATTTGCTTTCCCCAGGGAATGCCTAATGGTTTGAGCAGATATATTGCAGGATTATGAGACACATTATCATGAAGTTATTGGCATAGGGAACAAAGGAATTAGCCTTGTATGGAGGAGTAT